CAAATTTCGAATACTGACTAGTACTCACAAATTTTTTTGTTGGCTCATCACCGTCTAACTGGTGAATACGAAAGCTGGAATTTGGTTCTGAAAGTTGATTGGGATTTGGATTAGGGAAAAGTTGTGATTTTGAGATTGTGTTTGATATGTATTTGGTATTGAAAATGTGGTGAAACAAAATTTTTTGGTGATGAATTTGTGGTAGAACCATAAATTTGATGTTGATGAAAACATTGTACATTGTGAGCACCATAAACTGGGGCTGAAGAACTTAGTTGATTACTACTCGTTACGGACCCAACTTCACTACTTCTAGGTTCAACAACATACAATGTAACATCATCTTGCGAAACACTAATGTAAGCAATGAATCGTTCAACATCTTCATTGTCGGTTAACAAATAAACTTTACATTTTCTCTGATAAGATAGCCTAAATCCACTTAGAGACTCTAAATTCAATTTCCTTGAAACACGTAACATTAGAGTTTCAAAAGTTAACAAATTTAATGACAATTTTAGTTGAAGATTCATGGGTAAAGACATAAATTGTAAAAAACCATTAACATTCTCCCATGACCCTCCATAACACAAATCTATCCAAACATGATCAACATTAGATGATTTTATTCTACAAATTGTAAATTAATTTACTAAACAAACGAGCTATAAACTAGATATCATCACTAACTTAGAGAAAAACATACCTTTATTAAGTTGATACTTGATAATTTGGGAGAGAAATCATTGAAAAATTATATAGAAATAAAATATGTAAAAAAATATTAGAGATGGGGAAGGATGTCGTCGGATATAGGGAAGGATGTCGCCGGAGAGAGTGAGAGATGAAGATAGACTGAGTTGCGATTTAGGGATTTAGGTTATGAGTTGCTGCTGCTGCGTAGTTTATTAAAAAATTCGTGTTGCGAAAAAGAAAATCGAGTTGCGAAAAAGAAATTCGTGTTGTGAAAAAGAAAATCTAGTTGCGGAAAATAAATTCGTGTTGCGAATTCAAATATCGAGTTGCGAAATTAAAAATTGTGTTGCGAAATTATCAAAATCGAGTTACGAATTTAACTTATGTGTTGCGAATTTGACTTCTGTGTTGCGAATTCCAAATTCGCGTTGCGAAAAAGAAATTTGAGTTGTGAATATAAAAACTGAGTTGCAAATTTAAAAACTGTGTTACGAAATTGGAGTTAGTGTTGCGAATTTGAAATCGCATTATGAATTTATTGGTTATTTTTGCAAATCCAAAATAAATTGATTAAAATCATATATTATAAGACATTTTCAATCACCGAAGTTATTTTCTCTCATCGGAATTGGTTCATTCAACAGGTCTCGGTATAGTAATTTTTTGACACATTTTATCCTTATTTATGAGATTACACGCAAAGTAATAACCACAGTAAATATCAATTCATTTGTTGGTATTGCAGAAAACTTATTTTTTGTCCACAAAACGCCCATGGACAGAAGGTCAACAGTTAGCCCCAAACCATAAAGCAAATTGCATCAAGAAAATTCACTTGAAAACAACCCATTAACTGCCAGTGCCAAGCCAACCAATTCTGTTCAATGCATCGTTTTGCTTTACCTTTTTTAGCCATTTTAGCCTTAACCACAACTCATTCTTAAAGTGGGACAACTGCCTATCACATTCGAAATTCAAAACTGCACGATATGATAGAATAATATTTACACGTACGGATAGAAAAGAACCATCAGCAAACCAACAGTGAACATCCTCCACCAAAACTACTACAATACTAACCACAATCTTGCTATATTTACAGTGAGAAAAGCCCTACCCCGATCATTCCGGCTCTGTCGGTGTCCTGCACATATATGCATGTAACGATAAAGCGTTCGACATTCAAAATTTAAGTCACCAAAGATGAACGCCCATGTAATCAGTTTGCTCACTGTATCAGGTTCGATCACACAAATCACTTGCTTTGGTAGATGCACACTTTTTATTTCTCGCAGCTGTTTGAATCTTCACCTCATGGAACTACCTAATAACAAAAATGAGAAAATGCTAGATGTTTAGGATTAAGATAAAGTGATTTATACCTAATGTTTTAGAATCTTATGTATTATAAGTAAAAGATCAATGCTAATCGTTTTTACCTGATCATTGTATGGAGCATCAGTTAACAAAGTTTTCAGCCTCTTCGGGCTGCATTCACCACTAGCACTTTCACCTTGTTTCTCGTCTATGAAGTTCTGATCCGACACCTCTGCAACAAGCCAACCAACCTTTTAGAGTTCAATTATTTGACATCTGATAGATATCACTTTAAGCATCTCTTCTTTTGCAACATAGCAAATCCATTCGCAGATATTGTACTAAAAACAAATAAATGTATGCCTCCTTGGGCCTAACAACAATGAACAACCATACATCACCGAGCTGACTAGATCTTTTTTGAAAATGTAAAGAAACCCGAGAACTAATTGAATTGAACTCAAGCTCAGATTGTAAGCTTCAACGCTTTGAACTCGTTTTTACATACAAACCAAATATTCCAGCCAAAGTTGCAAGAAATTTAACAGCATGCGCGTGATTACAAGCCACCATAAGAATATGAGGACTAATTGAATTGAACTCACTCAAATTGTAAGCTTCAACGCTTTGAACTGCATAAAGAAGGGTACTAATCATACTATATGATATACATCTAATACTGTTGAATAGATATATTTTGTTAAACCCTAAACATATAATAGAAAGAAATCATGATTCTATGATAGGTGGAAACAGAAATGATACCTTAAAAGTCTAATAATCAAGCAAGTCTAAGATTGGATGAACTAAATCAGGTACCACCACAGGCACCTAAAACACGAATTTTATATAACATCATGAACACACCAATATATCACTGCAGGGAACTGCTTTTCTGCCATATGCATGAAAGTGTTTCAGAAGCTGCTGAACAGAAATTGCTTCTTACAAATGAACATTGTTTGTTTTATCACCTTTGGATGAAGCATTATCTTGAAGACTACAAGAGGCTAAACCACCGCAACATGTAGTCCTAGATCTGAAGTGCTGGATCCATGGACTCGCCACAAATGAATGAGAGCCATCTCTTTTATTTAGTTGAAATCCAGGACTTTCGAAATTGATCTTCTTCCAGCAACCACCTCGAAGAACCTTAAACTGCAATGAAGATTGGAACATGCAGTAAATAAGATTTGACACAGGAATTAGAGAGGCAACTCCATCATTATCAAGAAGCAGAGATTAAAGTTTAACCTGGCCAGAAGAGATACAATATGTTTTCCTTGATGATTTTGATCCTGGCAATTTTTCTTTTGAGTTCCAGCCAGAGTTCCAGCCAAGAGAACTCATAGAATCATATAACTGATTAATAAATGATGCTTCCATGGATTTAAGGTATAAAGTGTGCTTCTCATCTGTCCATTCTGTAGAGGTAGATTCTGTTATCAGAGAATCCTGTCGTGTTATCATTAACAGCCATGATTAGTAAGTTCTCCCAAACTAAACAAATAATTGTGTAAGGAAAAAAACATATTAGAAAGAAGAAATAAACAATTCAAATTAAGAAAGGAAAACATATAATTAAGGAGACCCCATTGGAGCCAACTACATCTACAGCATCAATACCATGAAATATGTGAGGTAGCTTAACTTCTAGAAGAAATAAAAGGGATAATGAATTTTCTAGGCTTCCAAGTTACAAATCCTCAATTAATAGTACCTAACAATCAAAGCTACTTTGAAGTTAGAAACGTCTGATGATAAATCCTTGCCTTTTTTCCCCCTTAAAACTCTAGTTCTAATGCTCAACGGAAATACTTTTAATGCAAATCAAAAGGATATGCATGATTGAAAATTATGATAATTTACCATGTAAAGAGGCTAATTACTAATTATTAAATGTTTTAAAGTGAAGTTCGAAAATTAAGCTGATTTAAATGCTAAACCCATGTCACTCGAATTTACTTCCTTCAAACAAGGAAAAAAAACGAAACCCAGGACTCAAATTCGTTGATACATAAATCAATAACCATAAAAGATCTAGAAAAAGAAGAAGAGGGTGTACCAGGCTTGGATTTTGTTCATGGTGAGCAAAATCGGGTGATCTATGAGGAGTCAACTCAGAGGCAGAAGCCTCTGAACTCGTCCGAGACTCAATTTTCCTAAAACCCTCCATGAAAGAAAAAAAAAATCCCGTGTTGAAAAGATTAGAATAAGAAACAAAGTTTACTTCTCTTTTAAGGAAGAGAGAAATATTTGAGAATGGAGAACAAGAGAAACAAAAATGGGAGATGATATGGGGAGGGGACAAAAGAACGTTACAGTTGTCATTGCCTTTACACGTTTCATGGGACCTTCACTTTGCCACGTCATATCTTAGGGGTTGGCTTGGCGAATACTGCAGGCAGATATTTATTGGCTCTTCAAAATATCTAATCTCACTTTTCTTTTCTTTTCTTTTATTTATTTCTTTATCTTCAAACTTGGGGATAAGATTACGATCTCCTTTCCTTTCTAAAATATATTTAAATTTTGTTATGTGAACAAAAATTATTTATTTAACAAATCATTCAGGTAAAAATGTGTGTATAATTTTTTACTAAATTCGTGTATATCATTTTATATATAACTACAACTCATTCTGTTCCACAAGGAACGGTCCAGGTTTAATATTACAATTTGTTTTAATAAATATAATGTGTGAATGTATGAGTTTATAAATTGATAGGTGAAATATGTTACTAAAATCTTCAAAAGGAAAATGTAGGGTATGAAAATTAACTAGAAACGGACGAAATATAAATGGTTTTATTCACTTTGATCTACTCTCTCCATAGATATTTGTGCATCCTTAATTATTTTCTTATAAATTATTTTTAAATTAGAATAAGGAGGGCTTTTTAGAAGGGACAATAATATATTCGTATATATAAAAGTTACAGTAAATATCTGAGTTCTGACCAATCAAATATTAAATTGATTCATACAGTTTGCGATGTCCGATTTCTCCACTGCACTCCAAACAAAGATATTTATTGAAGCTACGTAAGCCAAGCCCATACTACAAAATTCCAACAGGAATCGCATATCAAGGCAAAATTAACTCCTGCTAAAATTACAGTCAAAATGGTTTGAACGTAGTTTGGGCTTTACAGCAGCTCTTATACAACAACGATTTTTGGAGATACGAAAACAAGGAAGTCAAAGATGATATCATGTATTTTTAGTTGACCTTTTTAAGTGTGTCTCCAAGCAGCACTTCTTTGACTAAATTAATCTCATGAATCCCCTTTGGGCGTTGCAGAATGTGTACCTGAGATGAAACTATGCTAGCAGATGCCAACAACGGATTCAAATTTCTTGCTCCTGCTCTTCCTCCGGCATTACCGTTTCTTGAAGATCGATTCGCCCTGTAAATGGTAATAGTATAAGGAATTCATGATCAAATAAAACTCATATTTCCGGTTATTGCGAAGATACAATAATGTTCTTGATATGGACAAGTTTAAGATGGAGACGACTTAAACACTTACAGTTGAAGTTCACAGAAATGGAAAAAGAAAAAAAAAAGACTTTTTTTTTTACCTTTAAAAATTGTATCTTGTAAGTAAAGAAAATGTCACATATTTGACAGTCCAACAATTAAACTGAAATCAGCTAAGAGAAGAACGTGACAACAAGAGAAAAGCGGGGGGTAATTCAGCTTTCTACATTGTCGTATGCTAAACAACTATTCTAAATATTATACAAACATCAGTTTTGGACAGGCGTTGATGCTACACAAGGCATATATAGTAATAACTACTGTGTGAAGATTCATTCTTTGCATCAATTGACAATCAGCCACACTCAAAGACGAGATAAATTACCCTGTAATAGTGCTCCTTGTCTTTCGAAGACTTTGGAGAATGACAAATGCGAAAAAGTAGAATAAAATACTTTCTTCCTCGTGATGGTGAGGATCTTTCAGGAATATATATATATATATATCATACCTAACAAGGAAATGGTGGAAGGAGCTTTCGAAGGTCCGTTGTATCTCATGTCAGTTCCTGCAATGCTTATGAAAAATTGTGATTCCAGAATAGAAACATGTTTGTCAACTCATGATGCCATCATAGAATAATGTACATGCACAGTCACCAAAAATGGTACATGATAACTTCTGTTCCAATACAAAACATGTAAAAAGCAAATCCGTAAATCTGTAAAATGCGAACTAGATCCCCCATGGCTTTGCAATAGACAGACTTTTCTCAATGAGAAGGCATTGACATTTAATCCGAACTTGTGTCGGGAAAAAAATAAATGAACTGTGAACTCCACCATTATCCAAACTGGAGCAGCTTTAGCCTTTAGTGAAGATACAACGCTAGAACTTGTTAAAAACATGCACCAAAGCATAAAAAGTATACCTGAACTTTCAAGTGACTTAACAATGTCTGATTTCTTAAATGTAAATCCTATGAAATTGTTAACTTTTGATGTCAACATCTGCACCATCAAATGAACAAAAACACATCAAAACGTTTCAAAATCAATCTGGTACAATATTGTACTACAAACCTTACTAGAAAGAAAATGAAAATTGAAGCAAAAAAGGCCATTACCTTCCTCCAAGGTCCCACTTCCGGTATTGAGGAGGGAGGGCCATCAATCTACCAAGAAGCAAAGATATAGTAAAATTAGTTTCACTGAAAGGGAAAAAAAAAAGAGACGGACAATTTCAAACTTTCATTTAAAGAATCTTTGGAAAAAAACAATTTAAACTTCAGGATGCTAAAATATTTCCAAAAAAAAAAAAACTAAAAGATGCAACAAGCAAAGCTAACCAGAATCCGTATACCACATGTCAATTAAAATACAATGAAGAAAGGTATCAATCTACGGAAACTCTTAACATTCAATTGGGGAATAGACATCAAGTTAAAAGTGCTTCAACGTTCAAAGTACGAAGGATATCACGAGTCTTGAGAACTGTAAACACTTTATCAACCCATTAAGGGTATCACTCTGATACATTAGTATTTAAAGTGCTCACTTCAGGGAACTTCCCAAAATTTTGAGTATCCAAGTCTCCATTGACTGTTGGCTTATATGCTGCTTCAATCTCATATAGCTTTTCCCACCTAACACCTTTGAACCACGGATGTGCTTCAAGACTTCAAAGTTATAATTGAACAAAATACCAACAAGCTCAAACTGAGAAAGTAAACAATCTAATACTAAAATATTGCAGATGGTGCAACTCATTTGTCAATGTACAAAATTAACATCTAGATGCAATCTTCAGACCAGAGAAATATGTTTACTTGTCATGAATATTTGATTCAAAGATATCTAACAACAAAAACAGGTACAAAAATCATAAAGGGGCCTCTTTAAATTTTAATATATAATACTTAAAGGAACATGTATTATCACTGAAAGGACTTACCTTCAATTCTTCTACCCCTCTGGTGCCCAGGCGGGTTTCAACATCACAGAGAAGGTGACATATTAAATTCTTAGCCTCGGCAGATATTTTTGGTTCCTCGGGGAATTTCAAGCAAGCTCTCCAGTTGATGATCTGTCCAGGACAGAAATATTACCATCTAGGTGAAAAAAAGGAGGATAACAAAATAACTAAGAACCAAAAACTAGGTGTTGTGACACCTTGCGGCATGTTATCCGTGTAACACCCAATTCCTGTATATGTTTCCGTATATAAATTACAGATGTCACATGACTTTTAGAAACATTTACTTATTTGTAAAACTCATAAATTTTTTTGTTTCGAAAATAAAGCAAAACATTTAATATAATAATAAAACATTTCAGAGCATTTTTCTTAAAATCAATTACATGCCAGCTAATTTTCAAAATAAACATGATTGTCCTACTGTTACTGATGAGTCAACCTTAGATTGATGATAGTTGTTGTTGCACTCCTTACTCGACTAGTCTTTGCTTTTACCTACGCGTTAAATCAACACACGTTAAGTATTTATTTAGTGAGACATAATATTGTAAAGGAAACTGCAGTTCATACATAAGTATATCGGGACTATCAAAATCCGAAATTATTTGTATACTTCATGAGAATCATTTTAAACCTTTTCAGTTAAACCATGAATAACACCTTTTTTATGTCGAAATGCACCGTTATACATTTAACTGTCATTAGTGACACCTTTCTGCCAAAATGCACCGTTATGCATTGAAATCATAATATCATTATAAAATTATATCAATTACTGTAAAACATACATTAAATCAAAACATTAGAGGTTGACTCATTGCGAGTCTTCCTCATCCTATATAATTACAATAAATGCACTCACCAGATATACCTCCCTAGTATGTTGTAATGAAGTCTAACTACTCAGCAACCTTATCCTTGTCCTTTTTCTTGCTCGACTCGGGAGCTTGGTTATGATCTACACAAACATCCATTAAATACACATATCATATTAATGTTAGTATACTCTCTAACATTTATATTTTTAATAATACTCAAAAGTACTATTATATTCAATTTCTATTAAAATTCCTCCTATCTTAAATTTTCCAGGCTCAATAGTATCGGTACCCCTACCATGGTATCGATACTTCTATATTATGGTACCGATACTCCCATTCAGTATTGATACCATTTTTGCATTCTGGAATCCATGGTATCGATACCTTCCTCATAGTATCGATACTCACATCAATATCGATACTAATTGCATCAGTATCGATATTGTTCATCGTATTTCTTCAAATTTAAACCTATAGTATCGGTACTGTTCTTCCACTACTGATACCATTACCCAGATTTTCTATTTTTCAGCCCGATTTTTACCTAATTTTCGTCTAAATCTCTTACTTTTACCTCCAACAATACCCTTAAACTTAATATCACTTAACGCTACTAGCTTTCCTTCATTTAGTTTCTTATAACACCCAAATTCTCTAAAGAACACTCCAACCCAAGAATCATATTACTTTTTCTAACATGTTTTTAATCACATCCAATACTTCTAATCTATTATTTACTTATTTGACAAGTCAAATATACTAGCAACCCTTAATAAAAACTCATATTTCAACATATCTTTCAAAAACCCATTTTCTTCAATCTCAAATAAATCATCCATCTCTTAGTTTTAATGCCCTCTAACCCTTCCTTAAGCTAACATAAATATTCAAACTATATGTTAGTATTATACTAACATAATCTAAACTTAAAATATAAAAATATTATAAAATAAAAAATCAATACTTAAATCGACATCAAACTAAATCACATTTTCATCCCAAATTTAAACTTCCCAAAATAAACATTCAATCCCATAAATATTTCTTTTTCATCATCAACTCTTCAACCTTTAACAACTTTATATTCAAAACACCATTTATGAATTCTTTTTAGAATTCATATCAACTTTTTTCATTTGATTCATAATGGTCTTTCACCATTATGATCACTTCATAATAATTACTAAAAATTCAAACACCTTAATAATATACTCAAACCAATACTTCAACATTTAGAACTTGGAATTTCATCCTTATTTATTACTATCATTTATTCCAATCACTATCTTAACGATTCTTACAAATTAATCCTAAACAAACACTTAAATTGAAATTTAACATCCAAGTAATAAATTTCCAGCATTGTAGTATTATACCCACATGATGCTTTCACATTTAATAAACTTGCAGTCAAGTTCGTATATATTAAGGCCATTTGAATTCCACCTTCAAAATTCACTAAGTTTACACCTTGGTCACAAATCATTACTCTAACTTAAAATTCAGCATTCCACAATTAATATTCAACATTGAATACCCCAATTTACACATTCATACATCAATATCTCACAATTATCAAAACTTACAAAATATCCCTTTTTCTATTTCAAGCTTCCAATTTGATCCAAATCAATCTCCAAAGCATATAGAATACTAATATGAATTCTAGACCATAAGAAATTTTTCAACATTTTCCCTAATTTTCTTTCTTATAGTTGAATACTATAGATACTTATACACTTGATTTTAATAATCACTCATACTTGAAAATAAATCCACAAGATTAAAAACATAGCAATCTTTCATAAAATCTTCAAAATCAACAAACCATTTATAAACCTAAATTTCCAATGTCATCATAAAAGCGTGTTCACCATGTAATTTTTATACTAATTAATAGAGAATTTCAAGAGGATTAATTTTTTTATCTAATAGCCTAATCCAAAAATCAACAATGGAAGCTTGAAAATCAAATTAAAAAGCTCCCCTTACCTTCAATGGAAGTCACGACTGGTTGAGGAAGAAGAAGATGAAATTTTGATGATTTTCCTCCACTTATCACTTAATACACATGTCTTAATATAAACCAAGTGAATTTAAAATCCATTTAATAAGAAATTCCAACTTTGCCATTAATGAATCATGATAATCACCATTTTCCATTAAAAATATCTTTCAGCAAAATATCTCATAGTCAAATATGAACCAAATTGAAGTTGAATTTCTACTTTAATCAAAAACAATTTAAAAATTACAATTTAGTCACTAAATTTTCTCAATTTTAGCTAAATAGGGAAAATTAACTTTAATTCCACTTATCCATAATAAATTTCACTGCTCTAAAATATGGAAATAATATTTCCAACCTTCACCTACATCCTTCATATTTTCTTGAAATTCCGGTTCGATTCGATTATCTGATTCTTTACCAGACTTTACTGTCTGATATCTTTGAATAAATATCCTGAATCAAAATCATGATTCTCACGAAAACATTAATTTCGAACTAAACTGTTTATTTACGGAAAAAATATAAATTCAAAAAATTATATTTTTGGTCCCTAAATTTTTTCAAATTTATACTTTGCTATTAAATTTTCAAACTTACATTTTAGTCACTGACCAAATTTTGGGATATTACAATCACCTTACTTCTACTTCCATCACCATACTTCACCATATAGTTTCATCTATCTTCATTTAATCATTCTCTTTGAGCCATCTTTCTTGTGCAGGGATCCTTGTTGCCTTAATAAATTGAAACAATCAAAATTCAACCTTGTCTTCTTCATCAGGAATCCAAGTGAAGGTAGGGTGAAGTATATCACAACTGAAGGTTGATCCCATGGTTTTAGGTTTGAGTTTATGAATTGGTAGTTTTGAGTTTTTAAACCGGGCTTAAAGGCGTATTGTCAACATGGGATCAGACGCTAGGGCCGCCTTTTGCTGACTTGCGAGTGTCCTTTATAACTCAAATTTGCGAGTTCGAATATGTCCTTTACTTGTGATGAGAAAAATTGATGGTTGGACTTTTACTTGTGAAATCACAAGTTTTGACTACACAAATCATCTGCTCTGGAATAACTACCTTTTCAAATTTCACATCCTTCTCATTCTCAACACCCGTCGCTTAAATTAGTTTCTGACGGCTATTACCATCTCATTTGTCATGGGTGTTCCAAACTTACTCGAAACTATTACTATCATTGTCGAGATTGTAATTTCAACCTCGATTTCATTTGTGCTTCTACCATAGATTAAAGTGCAAAAAGATTTGTCATTTTTTCCATAATCATCCATTGACACAGTTCAACTATAGTTAAGTCGGCAAAAATCACTATTGTTGTTTTTGGTGTAAGAAGTTTCGTTCAGAAATCTCCTATGATTGTTTAAATGTCATTTGAAAAAGCTATTCGTTCATAAAACTTGTTTGATCGATTTACCCACTCAAATTTCGGAACATCCTTCTCATCCATACCACTCGCTTCTCTCCCGGTCACAATTGGGAGAGAGACGACGTTTCAGTGTTCATGAATAAAAAATGAGGAGATGAAGAAAAAATGAGAGAAGTTTAAGAATTTGGGTGGACATGAAGAAATAAGAAAAATGGAGAGTTGGAGAAGAAGAGTAGGAGGTGAAGGCTCCTCAAAAGGGTGTCATGTGGTTAAATGAGGTAAAAAAGTTAGACTAACATGTTAAATCAACATTTTGTTTTTCAGGTTGAATGATCAATTTGTTATAAATCGGTAATATTAATAATTGATTTATTATTTTTAAAATTTTAGTGAACAAAATGAAAATCTACTCAAATATTAGTGACTATATGTGTAATTTATTCTATATATATATATATTTTTGATAAAATTCTCTTCGCGTATGTTTTTTTATAAACTTTATATATATATATATATATATATATATATTTTAGTTCAGTATGTGTTTTTATTGTCGCCACATAAGCAAAAAAACATGTTAATATAAGAAATAATTTAAGATCTTGTAAATGAGTAGTACTCTGATGAAAAAGCCCAAAAGGACAAATTGTGATGGTCTGAGAATGTTTTTAACCTTTTACTAAAATTAGATTAGATCGACTGATTAAATAAAAAAAACAATATTTATTAGATTTTTTATATATTATTATATTGAAAATCATTAAAATCAATTAAAAATAATTGAATTGATATCAAAATAAAAAAATAATTTTAGAATTATTTTCAGTTTTTTAAAATGCAAAAATTTATTATTTCTTTTTAAAAAATAATCTTAATTAAACTCGTTGTATGATGATAAAGAATTTATATTAAAATAAATTTTAATCGATATTTAAATTTGAATTTAGTTTTACCATAAATGACAAATTAATATTTTTTTATTTTCAAAAAAGTAAAATGTATTTATCAAATATTTAAATTATTTTGAATAAAATAAATGGTTTGGTTAATTCAAAACCCTTAAATCAATTAAAACAATAATTAAACAATGTATTGATCAGTGGCGGATCTAGAAATTTATAAATGGGGGTCCAAAATTTTAATTTTCTTTTCTTAAAATAAATGGGGTGCAAAATTTTTTATTTTTTCCATTTTTCTTTAACATATTATACTAAATTTTATTTTTCCCCTAAATAATGGGATGCACTTGACCCCTATGAGGCTTAGTGCAACTGCCCCTGGTATTGATCTAATCTATGACTTGATTTTAAAACATGGATGTTTTCGTTGAACTTCGAAAAGAAAAAGGAAATTGTGGCAGAGGCCTAGAGGGAAGGTCAAAGGAGGTTGACGTAGACGCGCGCAGGTTAAGCGAGTGGAAGGAGTAGGGGATGAATTTTGGTAAGGTAGATCTCAATTTCCAAGTGAGGGAAGTACGACTGTGAGGCGGTTAAAAAATGGTGTGCTTGTTAAACAAGTGACCGGTTAAAATATATATATCGTAAATGTTATATGATTTAACCGGAAATATTATTTGAGTTAGTAATAAAAACGGTAATAACCGATTATGTTATCGTCCAATGTAAAATGTGCCAAAAATATATAGACGATAACATAACCGGTTAATTATTGGAAATATTATCAAACAAAATAATATATTAGGGAGTGTTTATATAACATAATAGGGAGCGCCTTGTTAAAGCTGATGGAGCTTTGGAAATCCGACTATAACATAACCAGTTAATTACTGGAAACATTATCAAGCATAATAACATATTAGGTAGCGCTTATATAACGTAATAGGTAGTGTTTTTTAAGCTGATGAGACTTTGGAAATTCGACGATAACAAAATAAGTTAATTACTATATTTGTAATATTGAAACCGATTTTATCAATTTTTAACCAGTTATATTGTCTTGTATCGATATATGTTTCATAGGTATCGATACTTCCTAGGTTCATCTAGTTTGGGAATCATACTGGACAAAAAAAATCGATACATATACAAAATGTATCGATACTTTATGTAAACATATTTTACCATTAAACCGGTATATTTTTACAGCTTACATGATTTATTTACCTATTACTTTAAAGTAATTTTTGAAGTTTTAAGAATCGATACTTTTCATACGTGGATCGATACTTTATAGGCGCAGTTATGGAAACCGGTTTTGTCAATTTTTTACCTGTTAAGTTATTTATATTGAAACCGGTTTTGTCAATTTTCAACCTTTTATATTGTTATGTTTTGATACATGTTTTTTAGGTACCGATACTTTATAAGCGAAATTCTAGAAACCGGTTGTGTCCATTTTCAATCTGTTATATTTCATTGTTTGTTTAAATTTTTTACCATTTTCTCAAATTTTAATCGGTTTCAACAACAGATATAAAATACATTAATAAATAGTATTGATTTTTCAACACTCCTCAAATATAAAATATAGATACGTGTAGTATGTGTATCGATACAGAGACGTAAATATGGATATAAAATAATCAACCAAGTTATGCTTGGATATGTGAAGAATGCCTTCCAGATAGTATCCATTTCATCCAGCTCATGAAGATAGGAGAAACGTAAACCGAAACCGTGTAAGAGAAACATAGCTGATCTAGAAACAACTGCATATTTAAAATCTCGAAGGCAGCCCATTTGGTTCTCAAACATTTAAAGAATCAGAAGCATATCAGACTTATGATTTGGGTGCTACAGGGGAAATGCAACAAAATGCAACCAAAAATTCTCGAGAATTAAACGCTAGATCTTTTAATAATAATGTTAAATAATGTAAGATACACATGTAAATCATAAGTACCAGTACTTAATTTGTTATTTGTATTATCAACATATTAGGTGGAATCAAAGTATATATTGATACTTTTGGCGTGCAGATTGTTTGAGCATTCACGTTGAATTAAAGTATAAAGACCGATATAACAAAATATTGATACATATATAAAAGTTTATGATATTATCATTATACCGGTAAAATGTTACCGTGTACCTTGTAAATTTAACTATTTCTTATACAAAGCTCTTTATATATGGGTTATCAGAATGTTGGATTTTCACATAAAGACATATACAATGCACTTAAAAGATGTAAAGCAAAGGAAATCGTCAATGGGGTGTCAATGCACTAATTGCTTACTTTTAACTGGTACTTGGAGTATCGATACTTAGACCTTTCCTTATGTTCCCCTGTATCGTGTACTTGAACCTTGCCAAACAATCTGTAGAATAGAGTCTCCCGTAAATCGTGGCCGGAATCAATTCTGTAGTTGGGATTATCCAGGTTACTCATGTTGACTGTATAACCAATAAATCCCCTTACAGGGTCCAAATGGTAAGTTAGGAATTGGTAAGAGAAGCTCCCTTTGAGGGTTTAGGGACTGAACCCCTCCCACGTAAAGAGTGCATGATTCAACATTACATATAATAGTTGTATTCAATTCTTGAAGAATTGTTCTTCATTGTATATAAGGATAGTTGTAATGATATTCATTCACGTTTCGAAATCAATTAGTTAGATGCATTCAATACCCTATATCCTTGAGGCAAAGGACAAGAAATCTAACACTTTTAAAGATTTACCAAGAGCGGTAGCTTCTGCT